ATATATATTTATTTATTTATTTATTTATTTATTTATTTATTTTATTCATTCAATAAAATTATAAGTAATTATTAATAAATATAATTAATAATAATTTGATTGCTCTTTCATAAATATTAAACCTATTTAGCAACTAATTTAAAAAATAATTTATTAAAATTTAACAAGTTTTGTAGATATATAGTTATTCATTATCATATTTTGAAATAAAATATTGATTGAATTTAAGAAGCTAATTTGGTAATTTTGGAATGGATAGGAACTCTGATTTACATGATTTACTAAATTTTATTAAGATTTACGGTTAGTGTAGCAATCATAAGAGATTTTTAAATCCTAACAGAAATTGACAAATTATTTTATGGGGCTTAACGGGATCATTAAATCAATTGCCAAATTTTTTTCAGGATTTAACCCCTTCCAAGATTTACCAAAATCTAATTTACAGAGTTACTAAATCGTACTAATATAAATCTCATCTGTTTTCATTCGGCCCCTTAAGGCTTTTAATAGTCTTTAATTTCGCTTAAAGGCCTCCCGCCTCCACCACATGACAATGGTTTGATGGTGATGGATGTCAGTTTCACAATGGTGATAATTTGGTAGCTATCTAAGGGTAATGGTTAAGCAATAACAACATCATAATAGTGGCTAACCAATTTTATTCTCATGGAGGTGGATGTGTGATAATAATCTAAAAATGATGGATAGGTGGTGATTTCAGCATGGGTAAATATAATATGGTTGTATAGTGATTCAATGTAGATGTTCATATGATGTAGATTGATTATGATTTAATGGAGATTTTCATATGATGTAGATTGATTATGATGGTCGAGCAATAGTTATTCATTTGTGCTAGTTGGGTAACAAAGATCCAACAATGGCTGGACTATGGTAGCCCACTAATGTTTTGTAGTGTGATGTTGGCTAGAAAGTGGTGACAACTAAATGATGATGGTTGGGAAATAGCAGTCTAACAATGGTGTTAAGGCGACATCGACATAATGGCAATTATAGGGCAACAATCCACCAATGGTAGTTGTGTGGCAATGGCCTAATGGCAGTGGTTAGGTGACGATAGTGCAATAAAGATGGTTGAGCCACACTGGTCCTATATTGGTGGTAGGTTGATGGATATTCGACAATAAAGAATAGGCAGTGTTGGTCATATGGTGACCATTTGACATTTGTTGTCAAAAATTGATTATGCAACTGTGGTCAAGTTGTGTTGGTCTGATGAAATCGAGAGCGATGGATGAGCAGTGGTGATCCAGTAACGATGGATGTGTAACTGTAGTCGGATGTAATGGTCGAATAAGAGTAATCCAACGAACATGTAGTAGAAAATTCAACATTAATAAATCAACGTATGCGGTCCGATGGCGAAAAACTCGTTGCAGCTGTCCAGCGCTAACAATCAAGTTGTGCAATTTTGATCATGGTCATTAAGTATCAACAATTTGATGGCAACAATCTAGTGATAATGATAATAAGTTGGAGCTTGTCGATCATGGAGTGGTAACAAAGGCCAGACAACCATGGACTGACGATGGAGCTTGGGTGGAGCTCTAGGATTCTTCAAAGCCTCGTGCTCTCTTCCCAATGACATTCTTTGTAAATCTCACTAAAATTAATAATACATAACCAAACAAACATGAGTGATCCCCTTTATTGTATGGAATTTTTTTTAGTTCTAAAGCACCCTAATAATATTATAATTAAGCAAGTTTGGCCTCATTAGATTCATCTCATCGAAGCACATAATTGGATTAGATGCATGCAAGATTTTGAAAACATTTAGTTATTCAATTAACATTATAAAATTTCAAAACATTTAGTTATTCATTTGATGTCATTATGTTCGTCTTATTGAGATATTCAGTTTAACTACAATTTAACAAAAATTATGATTAAGATGGTATTGCACTTAATTAAAAAAAAAGATTTAATTCCTAAATGCATCGTGATTTGCGCTCGATCAAGTGGATTTTCTTAGTGGGAGATCAATAGAAAACTCAATTAAGCATAATTAAAGCTCATAAAATGAATAGAACGCGTAAAAAATAAACTTGCCACCATGAAAACACATAATTAAAATAGAAATATATTAAAATCATTCTCTATTTCTATTAATTGTGAAATTAATAATTTAACCACGATAATTATGTGCATTTAACGTATACATTATAAAAATATGATCAATTAAACTTGCTAATACATGTTTGTTAACTTTAAAATTTGAGACGAATATTGCATGCTTTAAAACATAATTTGAATTATATATTTAAAAACTAATAAGCATTTTTAAGAGATCATTTTCATGAATGGCATAAGACAATTAACAAGTATCTATGACACTTCATTAATGACACCACATAAAATTAATTATCTTTATAACAAATTATATGTAATTATAAGCTCATGGAAATAGAAGGCATGGCATGAAAAATATAATAATTATTATTATTATTATTTTGTTTACACACTAATCTTAAAAAGCAACACAAATTACTAGTCCTATTAAAAAATTGTATAAAATCGTAATTATATTGATTGTATTAAGAGAAAATGCATAATACTAATAATTTAATTCAAAAAAATTGATATTTAAATCCGAAAATAAGAGAAGAATATGAATAAATAAATCATAAAATAACATATTTGGTGAACATGACTCGATCTTCAATTTTTTCGACCAAATTAGGTTCTCTAAGGCAACAAATTAGATTTAAGTTAGTAGAATTTAATAAATCATATAAATGAAGATTTAGTAAATTCCATAAGAGGTAGATCCCAAAAACTATTTAGTAATGAATTTAATAAATCCGATTAAATAATGTGAAATTGTCTGGTAATTTATATGAGAATTATAAAAGTTGTCATCTTTGTTACAATAAAAAAAATATAATTTAAATTTAAATTTTTATTATTTTGTTAAAAATTAATTTTTAAATTTAATTTAAATTCAATTTATGATTATACTAATGAATAATGAATTATTAATTAAAGTAGTTAAATATATAAAAAAATGTTATTAAACAAATAGCTTATTAAGTAATGATTTAATATCAATCAACTATAATTATATTAAATAAGAAAATATTTATATAATTTAACTATTAAATAATTTAAAATCTAATATATATTTTTTTATTAAGTAATTATTAAATTATTTAATGTAAATTTATCCATTCATAATTTATTTTTTATAATATATTAATTTAAAGTTAAATTTTAATCAATAAAATTAATAAAAATAAAGGCATGTTTCGAGCAACTTTTTTGTTGTTTTGCTTCTCAAAAGGCTACTAAAATTTCATTTGGAAAGCTGCTTTCTAGAAATTTTTGTGTTAAAAAACTGTTTTTTTCAACATGATCTTTAAATGTATGGTGGTTGTCATAAAGTTATGATATGATTTTTTAAAATTAAAATAAATTTATGATAACCATCATAATTTTTTAAACAATAAATTTTACTTCAAGAGCTTCATCACTATTTTTTCAAACAACAACAACCCTAAATAAATTATAACTTACATATAAAACTAGATTAAAAACAACAATCCCATCTCCCCTTCCCCTATATGCCCTAAACCTCGCTCCTCTTTTCCTGGAAAAAAAATTTCCAAATGAAGTTCATCTGGACTCCAATAAAATCTGATCACGTGTATCTGACTGAACAAACCTAAAAATGACGAAAAGACGCCAATAACACCCCAATAACATTGCAGTGTTATTTGTATAGTCCTTCGGGTGTGTTAGTGGAGCTGTTCAATGGTATTATTGTGGTGTATTGTGTTGTTATTAGAGTTATTTTGGGAGGGTTATTGTGGTGTTACCATAATATTATTTGCGTGTTCTTCCGGATGGTGTCATTGGTGTTGATCACCAATATTATTGTGATGTCGTAACAGTATTATTCGAGTTGTTTTGCGGTATTATTGGAGTAAAACCATAATACCATCGGTATTATTATTAAAGATTTTTGTAATAACAGGAACTCATTTTGATCATTTTTTTGGTGGGCACAATAGATACACATGACGCACACTCAGCATGGTAATTTTTTTCCTTTTCCCGCCATCTCCCCTTCCCCGTTCCAGCCCCGAAACGCTCGTCTACATCCTTACCCCCTCGCTCGGTTCTGCACAAAACCATCGCCTTCGTGACCGAACCATCACGATACAGTCGCAATTAGAGCTAGCTGGGAAGGCAACTGCGGGATCGCGGCGTACTGAGGCCCTAAACTCCATCTTTCTTCTCCTTCCGCACTGCTCCAACCCGAAACCATGGAGGCTGATGGAGGAAGGTAACTCCATATCTTACTTTTCACGCGAATCGGCTTTATTTTGTCCAAACTAACCGTCTGGCAGGATTTAGGTCAAATCCAGGTTAAGTCCAGCTCTAAATCCGTCACCAGACAGCCCCGAGAAAGTGAGAGAGATCCGGAACGAGGGAAGGAGTGAGCCGAAGAGAATGGGAGCGGGGGAGATCCGAAGGAGAGTCCAGAAGAAATTTAAACTCAGAGGATTCACCCTAAAGGTGGATGCTTTGGAAGAAGCTCTGTCCTTCTTGTCTCACTTCCAGGACGCAGAAGACGAAGCCCTGGACCTTCTTCTTGACGAGATCGACAAGGAATCTCGTAATCCTCCGGCCTAAAATTTTGAAACTTGCACCATTCTCAGCTATCATCTTATTTATTCCGATTATTTCTTCTTATGGGGCAGTTAAATCGTCAATCCTCGACGGGGAGGCAATCCGGCGTGTGGTGAACCTTCTTTTAGAGGCGGAGACCGCCGTCGATCCGAGCTCGTCGGCGGTCAGCAGCCGATCGGCTCTTCGCGTTGTAGATGCATTCGTGATCCCGAGGTTTTGTTATGATCCCATTAAGAAGGTGTTCTACGAGTACGTAAGCAATCTGTATCTGTGATTCCTCACGCCCTTTTTTTTTGACAATTGTGATTTGAAAGTTAGGTTTTTTGCTAGTTTTGCAGTGGGTTATGTCTGGATTGGTAAAATGGCCATACTTTTATTACTTCTATAGAATTCCTTAAATCTTTTTTAGTTGATTGTGTTAGAATGCTTGGGTTTAGGCTGATAAGCTAGCAGAAGTCTTACTGTAGATGAGTAGATGGATTTCGTGTGCCTATCATCTTATCACCTAAAACTCCCATTCAAAATGAGATTTTGGAAGCCCCTTTAAGAGATGATCGTAAATTATTTCAGTGCTGTCACCTATACAATTCCATATCGAGGTACTGTTTGCTGAGCATTTTTGACTCTGATTAAAAAAATTCATAGAAACTATGGTCTCTGCTAAAATTAATGGTTTTGGTGGCAGCATTTTCCCATAATGTAGGTATTCTTGAGAAAGATGTCTCTTTTATACAAGTAACAAAGAATAGGGTTGTTAAGCCGTGAGGTGGAACTGTTGACTCTGATGGGCATGTATTTGTTGCATGGGCACCAAACCTCAAGAGTCACTTGCATGCCTTTCAAGGCGTGACCTGCTGTACGAGTGGGTCAAGCAATGCCTTACAAAGAATTATATTCACCTCCATAAATTTTATGTAACAGGTACATTGGTAAATTATCAATTCATGGGGAAGCTAGGGACAAAGCTGCCCTTTACAGAGACAGGTACCAACTACTGCTTCAGAGGCTCACCCGAGACAAGTACTTCTCAAAGCCTGTATTTGACGCTGAAATGGCTGAATCGGAGAGCTGTGAGGTGATGGCACAGAATCTATCTTTTCTTTTCCAGCCGTTCGCTTAACTTTAACTTCTGAGTCTTTCATTTGATTCTATTAATTGCTTCAATTTAGCTCCTTCCCTTTGATGCTTTATGATTTAGGCATGCCTGTCAATAGTCTGTTAATTATTTCTTTGATCTATTGTGGTTTCATGGATAAGAAGCTTTTTGTTTAAAAAAATTTTGTTCTATTTACTGATCCTACAGATAACTTCCATCCATTCTTTGATTGGGTGCACCGGTAGGAGATGGCTAATTGGGGTCATATCTCAACTTGAGGAAGGCCACTTCTATTTGGAAGATCTTACAGCAGCAATACCAATTGACTTGGCAAATGCAATATCCTTCACACTTTTCCCATTTTCCATCTTTTATTATCAAAATTTTTGTGGTACTTCACCTGGAAATATGTTTAATTTTAATAATAATATCCTTGTTTCTCCTAACAGTGATTAAAGAGATATGTTTCTTGGTCAGAACTTTTTTCCCTCATTTAAAGACAAAGAATCCGGCATATTTGCATGCTTTCAACTTCCTTTTCTCTGTCATCCTGTAGTTCTTACCACTCCAATAACTCTGCATCTTCTTTTCTGTATTTAAAATATAAGTCACCCCTCATGCATTGGTGAGGTATCGACTGGTTCGCTGTCACTGTGGTGACGTGTCACTTTGATCTATTTTGCTGTTGCAAATTGGAAATTGCAACATATATTTTTAAATGTTTCTGTTTGTATCAGATTTGATCATAGAACTTTCATGATTTATCGGAATTAATAAAATTCAGTACACTATCACTCAATTTGTGGAACCTTGCTTTCCATGTATTTAATTACCTGCTTCCATGATACATGCAGTAATGATCAGATATTATATATGTACTTTATGAAACAAATTAGACTGACATGAGTTCTGTCCATCTTGTGGAATCTTCAAAACAAATGAGCAGTCGCTTTTACATTTAAACATGCAACCCTTGCAGATGGTTCTTAGTGAGCTTTAAAATTGCTTCGAGGGATTCCAAGGCAAAAAATGCCAGAGCAGTCACTGCCAGGTATTTTCATAGTTGTTACAGCTACCCGCATTGTCCATAAAATTTTGTTTCAAAAATGGACCTTGTGGTAGTAAGTGCATCAAATGCTATTCTAGTCTTTTTTGTCCGAGAAATTAGTTGAGTGTCTTGTCCAACCATTTCATTGCTTAATTAAGAGAAGCTTACAAATAGGATTGTGAACTTAATGGAGACATAAGAAGTCTGCAGCCATAATCACAAAAATCAGTACAAAGTTAAAAGTTCTCAACATAATGGAAAATAGTAGTGTAATAAAAAGATCTCAGAGAAACCCAAATCATCAGAGAGTTCACATACCGTTCAAGTGAAGTGAGAAATAGCACAATTTGATGTACCCAATGATTAAGAGAGAGCAGTAGATTGCTGGTTGAATTCCTTAATTAAAAAAATATATATATCAGGGCATTCATCTTGGTTCTCTAAAATTTGCAAAAAAGTATTCAAACTCAAGAATTTTCAACGTAGACAACAGTGCAAGTCACAGAGAACAGCAGGTAACGACAAAAGGAGGTACCAAATGCAGCCAAGGGGGTTCCATCCAAAGGCAGAGAAGTATCATACCATACTATTAACGGAAAGATAACAAGAACAACAACCAAAATTTTGCCCGTTGAACATCAACTAAGGATAATGGAATATTCAACATAGCTCATCTGGCAAATGTGGCATAATACAAACGAAATCCAAAAGAAAATGCTTCGACTAGAGTAACTAGAACCACTAGCCACCAAGAGTACCAAAATGCAATATAGATAGCAAAAATGACCAAAACCTCATCATGTATGGTAGCCCATAAAATGCAAGAGAAACCAAAACTGAAAACAAAAACAGTAGATTTTAACGAAGGCCATTGTAGCTGCAGGCCCATGCAACTTATAGGAAGCAAAATCGAAATAATGATAATCCCTATTACTGAGAATGGCCTCATTATCAACGTTTCAAGAGGTAACAACAATATCAAGGTAATAACAAGATTACGCTGAAGAAATCATAAGACTTAAAGGACCATTTGGTTGAGTGAATTTGTGGTGTAGTGCAATTCTTTTGCAGAGATTTGGGAAAATTATTTATCAGACAGAGAATCACTAGTACAATATAAATTATAAATTAATTTGAAGTTTATACCGTAGTTCTTTGTGCCTGAATTTAGAATTTGGTTGATTTGGCCAAATTTGAAATACACTGTTCATGTAAAATGCTATTGGCAAGCCACAACCATCCCCCACCACCCTCCCCCAGCTTGTCGTCGGTCGCCCGATGCCGCTATTCGCCTCCTGTTGTTGATATGTACTTATCATGCGATGATTGTTGTTTTCTTTTTGTACATGTTACTTTTGTGTAGAGGTAATAATGTGTGGATTGAGATTATTTTACTTACAGACCATGTTGTTATTTTTGGATATTTTTATTTTTGTGCAGTATATTTTATAGTTTCTTAGTGATATATATAGCATTTCTTAAAATCTGTGGAAAATAAATTAAATGTTAATACCATCTGATCGTAGTTATTGACTTGGTTAATTCTTAGCTATTAGGTCGGGTCGTGACTCAAGTCTACCCAAATCAATTATACATCGATTGAAGTCCATCAGTTTACATGGGCCGGATTACCCCAAATCTTCTTATTAGAAGATTTGATGTAATTGAAATCTTCAAAAATTAGCCAATGTTTAAAGATGAATGTTGACATAAATAATTGAATACCAAAGATGCTCCTTTATCATCATAAATAAAGGTCACCTGAAATTTAATAAAAGAAGGGAAGATCAATAATCTATGTATATATTGAGGGTGGGAGCTGCTTATATGAATGTGGCTCAAGAAAAGTCTCATTTCACTTAGAAATTGCCATTAGGTGCTCAAGAAATTAATGTACCTATCTTCCATATCAAAGATTTTGAAATTTGTACATTAACCAAATTTCTGCAGTCAGTAATCCTTACATCACCATTAACATCATATACATCATATTTCTGGCCATAATATTAGGCTAATTCATAGAAATTAAGAAATGGAAGCTCCTTTTTTTTCTAGTCTATCTACTCTTAGAAGTAGAGGTCAATATAAATTGAGTAGATTTATCAGCAGCATGTGCCAATTAAGTTATTACTTTGGAAGCAACAAGCAACAAAACTTAATTTAAATATTATGTGTAATAAATTGAAACAAAAATAATAAAAAATCTTACGCGTATAAGCTGTGCTCACAAACATGGCATTGGAAGGCATTCAATAGCATTTTGTATTTGATTTTACTTATAATTTGGCTCTCACGATAGGTCAGGGGTGCTGATGTCTGCTACTTCAGTCTATAAAACTTAAGTCCTTTAGATTACGACATTTTCAAAGAAACTTGATTCCGGAACTATTGCAACTTTCTTTGATTCTAAAAGTATGCTTTGATTTCTTTCCAGCAACATTTAGTTCAATTTTCTTTCTTTGATTTTCAATAAGATGAGTATTGTTTGTTGGCTTTTCTGGGTGTAAATGTAAATGTTGGACCATTAACCTCACCTAATAGTGTGAATTGTAACTGTTAAAGCATACGCTTCTATCTTTAGTTTTTCTCAGGCACTAAGTGAAAATACTAAAATGCGAATTTCATCAGTATGGAAAATCTTGTGTGTTTATTTGCTTTAAATAATTCCTAAGTTTTTTTTTTTTTTCTTCTGAAGACCAACGTACCCTGAAGACCAACGTACCCGTATTTCATGCTTTTAACCATTTTTTTACATATTCGCATGCATTGGTTCAAATCTAGAGGCAATTTTTATAGCACTACCAGAATGTAAAATAATAATAATAATAACATGCAATCTCCAGTTGTGGACATAAATATTGGGTCCAGAAAGAATAGGGAGGGCAACTGATGCTTAATCTTGAGAGATATCACGGATCCAGTGTAATTGTTTGCGTATTCCATCCACATATTTATGGAAAATTTTGTGCAAAACTGTTTTCCTTGACAGTTAACACAAAATCACTTCAGGATTTTTTGTAGAGAACACTGTGATTGTAGCTGAAGGAGAGCTTCTTTCAAATGGCATTTTCAAGGTCAGATATTGCCATTTTTTATTTATTTAATTTAAGTGCATTTCACATTATTTTGTGGAATTAGGCTCAAAAGAAATTATTTTCTTTGTAAACATGAAAAATGCAGCAATTTTTCATATTCATCAGCATCCACCATAATCTTTTTAGTAGACCTTATTGTACACGATGGGTTTTCTATTGGTAATTAGTTCATCTTCTTGACATCTTCGTCCTCAAATCAGGTGAAGATCTGGTTAAGCTTGTTTTGTCATCATAAATGTTGTTTTGTTCAGTTATGCTAAGTTTCTCTATTCTCTAAAGTCTTACTTCTTACTCGCCTTCCTAATTCTCTTGAAAGATCATGAAATTATTTTAAATTGATTTCTCATCTGATTTGAGCACTGTCTGAATTGGTTAGTTCTTGTTACAATTTTTTTAGTGAAATTTATCATGTAAGTTTCCAGCTTTTAGAGATTTGATTATGGCGTCTACTTATGTTTCAATTTGCAGGTCAATACATGTGGATTTCCACCTTTGGAGGATAGAGATGAATCCTTATCTTTGCTCATGGGTCTTGACTTCTTTGGTGGTGGTGTTATCTCAACCGAAGAAACTGTAACTAATGCAACACTTTAAATCTATTTATAACTTCCAACTTATCAGGACTAAATGTTTACTTGTCTCTACATCATCATTATCACAAATTAACTCTAAATGCAATGCTATAGTAGGTTGTAGTCTTCTTTTAGTCTAGTGAAAGTACTGTATCGGTCAATTCTTGCTGATAGCTTCTATTCATCCTGTTTTACCTTCGATAGCTCAGATTGTCAGTAATGGAAAAGAAGGCAGTGAATGACATGTTTGTCATACTTTCAGATGTATGGCTGGACAATGAAGAGGTAATCAGCGAATCATTTATTTTTCTCCTTCATTTAACATTTATTGTCCGGACAATGATATCTAGTTTATTTGTAGAAAAGACCATGCAAAAGCTTTCTGTGGTTTTGGATGGTTATGAAAGTGTGGAGGTGGTTCCTTCTTTATTTGTTTTAATGGGAAATTTCTGTTCTCATCCATGCAATCTTTCTTTCCACTCGTACTCTAATCTCAGGTATGATTTTTTTCCCAACATAATTCAGACCTATGTCTGCTAACTTATACTGTAATTAAAGAATTTCCCCTTTTTAAGTTGCTGTTGCAGTTTTATTTATTTACTTCTCTCTTTTTTCTCTATTGAAGCTAAAATCATTGCACTTGCAATATAAGTTTACTAGAAAAATGCCATGCAGAATGCAGTTTGCAAAGCTGGGAGAAATGATTACAGCTCATCCAAGGATAAATGAGCAAAGTCGTTTTTTATTTATCCCAGGTCCTGATGATGCAGGTAACATTAAGTTTTTATTGAAATTGTATTTATCTTTTCTCAACACATTTTTCAATCAGGCCATTAGTTCGTCCTAATGTTAATTTATTGCTTCTGCTAGCCTTGGTAGGATCCTGAAAAAAGTGCTAGTCCTATGTATTTGATTCAACATGTTATGTTGTGCTAGCGGGCTATCATTTTTTGTAAATTTGGGCTCTATGCTTTCACTTGGCCTTAAACTTAAACCATGAAAGAAGTTGCGATGCAAACCTCAAAGTTTATTCTCGTTGAAAATGTAAAATGTGTGTTAATAATTCTGTAAAAGTATAATCATGCATAATTCTATCTCATTCATAACATGTTACTAAAGTCATGTTCTAGAATTCTCATGATATTCTCTATGCATCATTCCCATCGATGCTGTGCCAATACTTGTGATTTCCATTGGCTTGCTCTAAAGTTTTATTCTAATTGTAATCCATTTAAGCTCTGCTGTTTATCATTGAGGCATTCAGCCTTTTTTATTTTTTATAAATATGTACTTCTCTAAGATTTATTTTTGTTCTCTAATGATGGCTATGTTAGTGGAATGCGAACCTTTTTATATAGACTATCAATATTCTTTATTGCTGTCCTTATGGTTACCTTCATTGACGTCTTTTATCAATACCTATGTATAATTATCTTATTTGTGCCTTCTCTAAAATAGATCTCTTTACTGACTCTGTGTTTGATTCACACTACTTTCTCTTTCTGTGACCTGCCAAGCTGCTCTTGTGCAATTTTCGATATCCTAGCAACAAAATCTTCAAGTACTTCATCTTGATCACTAATGTTTCCAAATTCAGGTTGACATCTTTTATATCATCTCGAGTTTGTGGAGCATTATCATATTTAGTTATCAAATAGCCAAAATTATTTCTAGTAGGAATTTGCACTATTTATTATTTTAGTATCGGGAGCACACAATTCTTATGTATTTACATATCTGAGAGCTAAATTTTCATATTTACATATATAATACTTTGGTGCTATAACCCTATGCATGAAAATGTGTATATTGCTTTTGAAGAGCGGTTTCTTTTGATGCGATATTAAAGATTTGAGTGCTATGTACATATGAAAGTATAGGTGTATGGGATATGCAAGTACATAGGAATTGTGTGCTATGTATGTAAATGCCCCCTTAATATTTTGTTATTCTTGAGGATATATTTTTTTAGTTTATTATTATTAATTTTTCTTCTTTTAATATAGGCATATAAATACTTTAGCTTCTACCACTAATTATTGGGTTGAACTCTTGATTGAGTTTTGTTAGCGTAAATATAATTTTCATTTGTGGCATCCAACCGAGCATAAGGTTGAGATGTTTCTGAAATTTTTTATTTTTTTTCTGAAGTAAGCCTATTAAACTATCATCATGACATATTTCTTTGTATTTTTTCATTTTAATCAAAAGGAGTGATTGGTTATTAAATTAAAATTTTGTGAACAATGGAATTTATATGTGTGCATTAATTTTTTGCACTCCATAGATTTCTGTTAGAAAATCTTAGAACCTTAAATGTCTTGTATAATTGACTATAAAAATGGGCTTTCAGTCATTCAAACCTAATCATTATACATATATTGGAACAAATATGAATATCTATTATTATTATTATTATTTAAAATTTAAGGTCCAGCAAAAGTTCTTCCAAGGTGTGCATTACCAAACTACTTAACTGAAGAACTCCAGAAGCTCATTCCAACTGCTATCTTCTCAAGCAACCCTTGCAGGTCAGATCCTAAAGCATTTTGCAAACTTTAACTTTGATGTAATCCATCTATTTAGTTCACACATAATGCGACTCAACGAAGTTTTTCCAATTTCAGAGTAAAATTCTACACTCAAGAAATTGTGTTCTTCCGGCAAGATCTCCTATATAGGATGCGCCGTTCATCTTTGATTCCACCTTCGTCAGAGGAAACCACCGATCCATTCGAACATGTAAGATTAGCTTTTAACTACACCATTAGTGATTCACAGAAAAGCTTACTCTTAGAGATCTAATGCAATGTTTCCTTGCAGCTTGTCGCGACCATCACTCATCAAAGTCACCTCTGCCCCCTGCCGCTCACGGTGCAGCCAATCATATGGAACTATGACCATTGCCTTCAGCTCTATCCTACCCCACACACTGTATCTTCTATCATATTTTACACGATTGGTTTATCTTTTTTAACTATATAAGAGACTAAAGTCAGATATTCGATTTGTTAACATAATTGTTTTGCAGATTGTTTTGGGTGATAGGAGTGAGCAGAAGGCTTTCAAATACACAGGAATAACATGTTTCAACCCGGGATCCTTCTCCAGTGACAGCACTTTTGCCGCATATCGGCCCTGCACACAAGAAGTTGAGCTTTCGGCTATTGAATGCTAGGATTTTGTGAAGCTCCTGAGCATCATAACTGAGCTCTTCAGTCGAGTGTTAGCGACTAAGTGGATGTATGGGATGCAGACAGCTTGGATTGTGTCGGCGCGGCGAAGCGCGGACACTACCAGCATTGTTGAGGGAAAGATTAGTCTGCTAAAAGCTGGAAAAGTACTCAAGAAGGTGGGATATTAAGTTATTTTGATTATCCAAACATTTTTGGCTTTTATCGAACTTTATTTGGAGGATAACAAGATTGAGAGAAAATATTCTTTCAAAATCGAAACATTTGTGTTAATCTTTGCTACCTTTTATTTGGAAGCTTATTTATTATCTTATTCTTTATGCCATGTTATGTACTTGTATTATGTTAAAATAGTTCTGTGAAAACAAGTGGATTCATGATATGTCTTGGTGCCAAAGTAGGATTGCTTCCAGAACTCTCTGGAAATTTCACTCTCAGGAACTCTGTAAATTTCACAACTAAATACCATCTTTTTAATGGTGGAAGTTTTACATTAAAAACATAAAAATTCGCGTGTACATATACGCTGCCTCCTTTGCTTGAAAATATGCATTTGATTTTTTTAGAACTAAAATAACGCTCTTAAAAAATTTGGGTGATATAAATGTAAAAAAAATAAAGTTTTGGCATTAGATATGTGAATACATAAGAATTGGGTGCTACATATGTAAATTCAGCTAAAACACAAAATTAGGTATTAGATTAGTGGTATTTTTTAAGTGATGAAATATTTAGGCGGTACGAGTTCAGGTATTAGATATGTAAATACATGTTAATGCCACATTTTTCGGTAAAAAAGTTAATATAGCTTTCCATGCATAGGTTCGGGTGTGAGAAATGTAAATACAATGAATTCTTTCCCTTTAAAATTTTTATTATTTTTTTCAAAATTCACAGAAAATAGAAATCAGAGCCCCTCGATTATATCTGATGCATGGCTAGCATTCTAAGGTCCCCAAAATTTGCTCATGGACTTTATAATTAAATATTGTAATCATTTTAATATATTTAAAAATATAATTATTATAATTTCATGAATTCAATATATAATACTTAAACTTAGAAAAAACCTACAATTTTTTAATAATCCCATCATATTACAATAGTAAAAATTAATCAATATTTAAAACAACTAATTAATTAAAAAATAGTCTAATTTATGCCTAGCTCGAGCTTGATTTGAAGATAGATACAAAAATTAAGAAATAATAGAAGCAAAGCAAACAAATAGCTTTAGAGGGAGCTTGGTGGTTTGATTCTAGGCGACTCGAAAAAATCTGCAGTACAAACCTGCTGAGGATAAAAAAATTGTTCGTTGAATGATCTCTTAAATCCAATATAATAATCAAACTCTCATAAGAATCATAATTGATTCAACTTCAGAACTAAAATCCTCTGAACTCAAATAAGCTCAAACCCCTATAAAATTGTTGGCAATATGCAATAATCTGAATGTCAGTTGATGAATGCATGCAATTAGAAAATCAGTAGAAAGTGCCACCAACCAAAAATTTAATTCATGTAAATATATAATTTGTTGCGTGTGCACATTTATCAATCATAATCAGGCATTGGAGTTGATTAACACACCACTGTGAGGTTTTTCATATCACCCAGATTTCATTCAACGGTTAAAAGATTCTCAGAAATCTCAGGCTTTGCGTACAATAATATGTCTCTCCCTCTTGTACTCGACCTCATCCCTCTGGTGCATAATCAGTATAGCTCTCCTAATCTGAAACATACATAACATATGCAGGTTAAATTTCCATGGATACAAAAGTGAAGGTTGAGCAAGCCCAATATCTGTTTGTTTTAGGCTTGTTCAAAAAATATTATTTTGTTTGAAAGCAACTCGTGTTCAAAGACTCCTTAATAATATGTTGCCGGACACAAGCTATTAATTAATGATTGACGAGCTTATTTGACGACCCTATTAATATTCCGAAACTAAAGAGATCAAATTGAACATAGTTATAATCTGGTACTAAACTTAACTCATAAATAATCTGAAGATAATTTTGAACTAATAAACAAACTAAAATCTTACAATGGATTCATTCATTCCCATTCTGGTAAGGTCATCAATAAGGCGTCTTTCAGAAATGTGGCTCCCAATCCCCATCCTTCTCTTTATTTGCGCCTCAGCTTGCTGCTCAAAACAAATCACAATGAACGAAGACGGATAAATTAGCTCATTTCTATACATGAATGTTATTTTTTATTTTATTTTGTTTATATTTTTACATAAAAATAAAACATATTTGGTCTGTTATAACATGATTATTTATTTTTAAAAATGCTCAAAAAAAAATTTTAATATGTTGAGTGTTTATAAAAATATAAAAATTTGTTTTTCAAAATAAACATAATAAAAAAATACTGAATAAAAATAATTTTAAAATAAAAACAAAAGAAAAAAAAAATAAATAAATAAACAAAAGTGATCCCAAACAAAACCTTAGGTTTGTGAAAAGGGTCCATGGGTTTGTATTCACCTTGATTTCGTTGGCCATCTCAGGAGTCAAATTCAGATGCTCGTTTATACCGGAACGAGCAGCATCCATGGTGGAAACATTGAACAGTCTGAACGCCTCTTCCACATGCTCTTGAGTAGCAACAGATATCCTGAATCCATATTTGATCATAGAAACAATTTAGGAATATTTACATATTTACACACACAACACCCAATTCTTATGTTTTTACATATCCAACTTCTATACTATAATTGTTTACATTTATACCACCCAACCTAAGTTGAATTTTAACATTTAGTTCAAGTTTGTTTTTTAGTTTTCTTATAGGGTAAGAGCCATGCTTAGCTTTAGTCGAACTTAATTAATTATTATTGTGTTTGATGCTAATGATTTAATCATAAACATTATTATTTTTATAGAATTTAATCATAAACAAACTTAGATGAGCTTATATGAATGAATATCGAATTATTGATCAGGTGCTTATTAACCCCAACAATCATACAGAAGACAAAATACCAATTTTAAAAAGGCGCTTTTACATAAAACATACCAACCAATTCCTATATATTTACATATCTAACATTTAAACTTTTAGCTTTTATATTAAAATCACACAAAGCTTTAATACCATATCAAAAATATCATTATTTTAAGTTTAAAAAAGTGAAATACACCTTTCATGCATGGACAAGGTGGCATGTATGTAAAAATTGAAGTTTAGGTGTTAAATATGTAATTACATAAGAAATGAGTGGTATGTATTGAAAATAATGTCAATCTTCCATTAAAAAAAGAAGTGAAACTTACAATCTCATTTTTGCAAGAGCCTCACTCAACCTTATGATGGCTTCAAGCTGCCTCACTGTAATGGGCACTGCAGAAGATCTCCCTGTCTCATATGCCTGTTGTCTCATTTTCTGCAACACAGAATTAAAATATGAACTTTAAATTGGAAAACATTAATATTAATCTATTGGGAGTAAGTGAGCAGAACCAACTCGTGAGCTGAATCAAGCCCGACTCGATAAATGGCTCATGAACTGAGCTCTATGAGCTAATGAGCCATGCCCAAGCGAGCCTAGAAAAAGCTCCTACACTTACGAGCCAAATCGGTTACAAAATATTTAAATACAATGTACATAAAAAAATTAATATTCTAGAAAGATTCACATGCATACTACTCGATCCAATGTAATTACACATCTAACACCTAAACTTCAATTTTTACATATACCATCCTACTTATGCATGAAAAGATATTTTTTTGATGTGATGAGAAACAATTTGGCTGGTATGAACGTAACAATCAGAGTTTAAGTGTTAGATATGTAAATACATAAGAATTGGGTGGTATAGATGTAAACGCTACTATTTTTATCATTTTTTTCCTAATTTTTCATTATTTTAATCATTTTATTATAGCAATTGCTTATATTATAACAAATATTTTGTTTCTTAATAAATGACCCGGCTCGTGAACTAACGTGAACTCATAGAATTTAAGTTCTCAAGCCGAGTAAGGGGTTACTAGAGCTTGGCTCTACTCTTAAATCTTTCATTGTCAGACATGGTAAGCTCACCTGTCTGATCTCCACATACTTGTTTTGTAGCATTTCAGCAGCCTTTTCTGATAGCCGTGGTTGGCAGCTACCTCTACAATACTCAATGTACCTGTTGAGTCAAGTTTAGTTGAGCCAGAGAAGTCAAGAGACTAAAGTACTTAGGAGCATTTACACACTTTAGATACAATTCTAATGTATTTACATATCTAACACCTAAATATTTATATTTACATGCATACCATTCAAATCTTTAACATCACATTAAAAATATCACCATCAATATTCTCTTAAAAATAAAAAAGACATCTTCACACAATGATTTATGACACCAAGGTGTTACAAGTAAATATCAAACTTTTGGGTGCTAGATAAGTAAATACACAAGAGTTGTGTGTATCAGGAATGCATGTAAATTTTTCCTAATACAAACCATATATATTAATACCTCTTCAGCCAATTTTCTCCTTCCATAGATTCATCTGTCTTGGCTGCTGCGGCAGCACTGGCATGAACTTTTATAATATGACTAGCGATTTGCTGCATGAAAATGTTTAAGCATCAGATAAAAAATCGGTACATCTACATAAATATCACCCAATTCCCACATATTTACATATCACATAAAAGATATCACCATTTTAGCTTTAAAAGGTGAAATAAACCTTTCCATGCAAACGCGCGATAGTATGTATGTAAAACTTAAAGTTTAGGTGTTAGTACATAAACACATAGGAACTGAGTGGAATACAAGTAAATCTTCAAAAAATAAAAAAGAAGAAGAAAAGGGGCAATTTCATATGTATAAATCTTGGCCATTTACAATACCAATACTCTCCTATCTTTGTTTAAACAAATTCTACTCGAATATCAAAATATATAATAAAATCACAATTTGTTAATTTTATATTTATCAAATGCTTAATAATTTAGTTGTGAGATGTGCACATAAACTATTTTCTTAGTTTGCTAGTTCAAGAAAAAGGCATTTACATACATTTACAACACTCAAAATTTTCATATCATAAAAACATCACTCATTAATTTTCAAAAAGTGAAATACATTTTTTATGCATAATTTAAATGCTGCAAATATAAAAATAAAAGTTTAGATATAAGATGTGCAAACAAATAGGAATTATGAGGCATGTATGTAAATCTTCCTTCCAAAAAATGATCCATGTTAAGTTGGAAAATAAAAAGAAATTAAAAAAAATTGATTTTATCTGCATAAATATCCTCCATGTGCACAAGTATCATCTTTACCTTGTCTTGCTCATACAATCTAACATCTTTTACAATAAAAATCAGATCAAATCTGGAAAGTATTGTAGTTTGCAAATCAATGTTGTCCTGTGCAGTCTGAAATGTAAGAAATTCTTATCAATATTATTCTCTAAGAGATCAATAAAAAAAAGCATCTTGATATAACAAAATCAAAGCTTAAAGACCTTCAGATCATCATATCGCCCAGATGGAGGGTTAGCAGCTGCAAGCACAGATGTTCTGGAGTTCAGAACAGTAGTAATTCCTGCCTTCGCAATGGATATAGTTTGCTGCTCCATGGCTTCATGTATAGCAACTCTAAAGATGCAAATAACTCTAAAATAAATAGCACAGAAGAGAACATCTGATATGAAATTAGGAAATTTATATCAATGCCACTTAATTCCTATGTATTACATATCTAACACCTAAACTTCAATTTTACATATATGCCACTTTACATAAGCATGAAAAATGTGCATCTCACTTTTTTAAAGTTAAAATATTGATATTTTTATGTCATATATAAGATTGGTGGTATGCATGTAAAGCCATACCTGTCTTCAGGCCTCATCTTGTCAAATTCATCAATGCAGACAACCCCACCATCAGCTAAAACCATGGCGCCCCCTTCTAAATAGAATTCTCTCTGAGATGAGAAAACCTTATTTAGGACTCTAAATATTTTATTTTGAGATAGATAAAAAGGTGATAAATTTTTTTCTTTAAAGCTTCTTACCGAACTACTATCACGAATGACAGAAGCAGTAAGACCAGCAGCGGATGAACCTTTTCCTGAAGTATAGACGGCAATCGGCGCGGTTTTCTCCACAAACTTGAGGAACTTCATGGCAAGAGAATCATATATTAGGAGATGGAAGGTTATATGCTTGATGAATAAAGATTTGTTTGGTTCTGCTTTAAGTTTCAGACCACCACAATGATTCTGATAGGAGAATTTTTCTCTTACAGCCTTTTTAAAATTTTTGCTGTGAGAAATTATTTTTGAAACCAAAAATGTAAAGAGTGGTGTGGCTATAACAAAAATGTCATCTATATTTTGAAAAAAATAAATATTTATAATTCACATCGTAGCATTCTAAGAAGTAGATTTCCTTACCATAACCTTACAATTATATTTACAAAAAAAAAAATAGTCATCTCAAACATACCCTAAATCATGTGCAATCAAGACAGCAAAATTTGCAGATTTAATAGAGGATAGAGCATTTATCTTAATTCCAAGCGACACGCCAGAAATTTTTTTTAAAGTGTAAAATATGATAAAACCGAAAATTAAATCAAAGACAATTTTAAAGTTCATTCTAAAAAAAGTGTAGATCAACCTGTGATTTTGCAGTTGATGGGTCACCCAACAGTAGAACATGGGTATCACCTCTTAGTCGCACGCCGTCCGGCAACCTCTGTAAAACAGGGTAAACAAAATACATTTTATTTAATTTATTTTTGGAGATTTACATATGTATCACTCAATTCCTATGTATTTACATATCTAACATCTAAATTTCAATTTCTACATACATGCCACCTTGCCTATGCATAAAAAGGTGCATTTTTACATTTTAAAAGTTAAAAATGGTATTGTTTTTTATATGATATGAACTCTTCGGTGGTATGAATAATAAAAGAGAAGTTTAGTTGTTATATATATGTAAAGGCATAGGAGTTAAGTGGTATATACTATGTATGTAAATGCCCCATTTATTTTTGTTTTTTTTTTTTTTGCTTTCTCAACTTACAATCAGAGTAAACAATCCCTTTCTTCATACCTTCTTTGAGCCTCCAAATAACAGACAAGCAACGGCTTTCTTCACATCAGGATGACCATAAATTGAAGGAGCAATCATGGAGCATAGCTTCGTGTAAGCATCGGGCCTCTGCGCAAATTCTTTGTACTCCAATTCCTGCAAAGTATGGAGAGCATTATAGTAACATACTATTATGAGAATTATCAGGCTGTAAAAAATTTATTTCACAAGTTTACCTCATCTAAAGTGAAGTTGGATGGGCCATTTGAGCTCATTTCACGTGTTTGCTCCATACCAACAACTCTAATGTAAGGTTGTTTAACTCCTACAGCTCCTTTCTGACTGCAAATAGCTTAAAACATTAACATTATGACTAACAAGCTTTCTTAACATGGAGAAAATATATACAGAACACTCAAATCTTGACAGTTCACAAAACTAGCACCCTCCTATTTCTATTTTTCAATTTCTCACCTAAATATCAAAATTCACAAAAAAACTTCAACCTCAATGTTTACCTTTAGTCAAATTCCCAACAATTTGATTGTGGCAAGCGTACGTGGGCAAGTTCAATTGTTAAAAAATGGGGGCACTAAGTTTCATACCACAAAATTCTTATATATTAACATATCTTGGACCTTAATTTTACTTTTTTTTTTCCATTTATACCACCCAAATCATTCATATCACATAAAAAATGCTACTATTTCAACTTTAAAAAAGTTAAATGAACTTTTTTTATGCATAGGTAATGCCGCATGTATGTAAAGTTTAGGCATTAATTATGTAAATATATAAGAATTGAGTGTTGCGTATTTAAATATTCCAAAAAAAAAATTAAGAGAGCAACAATCATAAACAGCAAGGATCTGAGTGATACATAATATCTTACGCTGCAGATGCTTGGAACACACTATAAATGCCGATAACTGTCAACCTTGTGCCTGGAACAACAGATTGAACCAGGTGACGATCCACAGAGAGGAGCACGTTTCTAGGGAGTTCTCCAGTAGGGACGTCCTATAGATTTCAAGATAAAACGTTAGGTCTCACTCCTAAAAGAATGAACTTTCAAAAGCTAGCAGAAGAAGGCTACTAACCTCTGGATTTTCCTGCAGCTTAAGTGTCTGAAGATCTACATATTTACTCTTATCAGGTGAAATAATCCATGGATCCAATGGACAAGGCTCTTCGCCGGGCTATAGAAAGGAAGTCGCTTATAAAAAGCCACGATTGCGCCAGTAAAAATGGCAACTTTGTTTACTTGTAGCTTACCTGGGGAACATGATCACAGGACCTTGGAACAATGGCGCCCCCAAGTCCAGGACGGCAAGCCACAGTTTTGATGTTTTTACAGTTCTTGCATAAGAGAGTAACATAAGTTGCTTTGGCCTTTACTCGAGAAGCTGCGATTGTGATTCCAGCGATCTTCACAAGCTTTGACATGTACTCAGCCTTGATCACAAAAAAAAAAACATATTACATATTAGAACCTAATTTATCAAAACCTAATTTATCAAATTTATGCATGAGAAATTGTGGGCTCTGGCAGAATAGAAGCAAAAAATATGAACTTCAAATGTCATCCTTTGAACGGATATTTCAATACTGAAATTCTACGTGCTCAGATCGCTAATTTCCTGAATCTTTAGGCAGTCAGTATCTTGATGAAGTAGTTTCTTCCATTCATTCATTCATTCAAAACTTAGCCGGGAGTGTCAAAGAAAGAAAATTTATCCGTTCTAGTTTCATTTGAAATAACATGTCTAAGGTCAAAAAAAAATTTTTTTTTATGGACAGAGAAAAGGGCACAAACCCCAACGGAACGCATGGAAACGGAGTTCTCCTTGGATGAGAGAAAAATCTGGACATCTCCCGTTGCAGGCTCCTCCATCTCCCCCGTCTCGCCGGCAACTTTGGACCGAAGACTCGCCAGCACCTCAGCAGCCGCAGATTCCAACTGCAACGCATAATACAGAACCATCCTTTCACATCACAGCCGAAACCTAAACCCTAACCCTAGACTGAAGAAGAAGCATACCAGAGGCAAATACTCCGCAGGGAGCTTCCGGATTTTGTCAGCCAGCTCTGCATCAAACGCATCCATGTCTTCCATGGCGATAGTCAGGTGATCCGAATTGTGCACAAGACTCTCGCTGCAACCGAACAGATAAGAGCGATTGCATTCAACTTGTGGAAAAGAAGGAGGATGAAAGAAAGCGTACCGATAGGGAAATTCACCCTTCTCGCCAGAGAAGCCGCGGACGAACTCCTTGAACTTGCGAAGGGAGGCGTGGTGGGTGAGGGAGCCATGGTCTGGATCACCGCCGCCGCGCGGAAACTGAGCCTGGTCGCTGTAGAACACTGCACCCTCGTCCCAACCAGACATCTCTGTGTCTCTCTTTCTGCCTCCCTCGATCGATAAGAGATCTATTAGGTCTTGGTTCTTCTTTGTTGTGTGAGAATGTACAGGAGAAAGTGGAGCCTATGAATTGAGCGAGGTTCGCCCTTAAGGTTTTTTTGGCGGGAAATGGCAGTGCGATGGCTCAGGAATGGCAACAGAGTTACAGAATTGGACACACCAAAAGCCGAAGAAATATTAAATGCGTAGCCAATCAAAACACGCCACGAAACACGCCACGACATCTCGCGCGGCAGAGTAAGAAAAACGGTGCAGTAACACGAAGAATATTCCCTCCTGTGTTATTCATGTGTTATTACGCGTTATTCATGTGTTATTGCATGTTATTCATGTGTTATTGATGTGTTATTGTGTTATTATAACACCAAGAATATTCTCATGATACAATAACACATGAATAACACATAATAACACTTGAATAACACGAGAAATATTCCCGACAGAGAAAAAACGACGCAGTAATACGGAGGAATATTTTCTCCCGTGTTATTCTTGTGTTATTGTGTGTTATTCATGTGTTATTGTGTTATTATAACATCAGGAATATTCTCAGGATACAATAACACATGAATAACACGGGGGAGAATATTCTCCGTGTTACTGCGCCGTTTTTTTTTCTGCGTCGCGCGGGGTATCGTGGCGTGATTTCATTAGGTACGCACGTTACTCTACGTGCGTAGTACTGATGTAATATTTTTTTCCCAAAAGCCATAGCATTCGTAAAAAATACTGTTTTTTTTATGATTATATAATTTTATCAGAAAAAATAGTTACTAATTACTGAAATGATTTCTTATTGTTATTATTTTTTTGGCCAATTCTTTTTAAAACATAACTTCACCATTTAATTTAGGTGGTGCTTAGCTGCACATTAGATTTAAGTTTAGTGGAATTTAGCCGTTAAATTTTAATTTAAGAAGTCACATGTACGACGGCCATACTCATCGAGCACAACGAATAAATCCTTCTCATAATCAAATTTAACATCAAAAATTACGCAACACTGGCAAACTCAATTTAATAGTGTTTGTTTTTTTTTCCTGCTTTATTTTAATTAAATTAATGACTAAATCATTGGTACATCATCAACAATTTCATTATTCGACACGAATCTCGAGACATAATGCAGGTTTCAAAGCAATTTTTAGCAAGAAATACACAAACTTCGCTGAAATGTCATCAAGAACTCAAATTTCTGCAAACTTGCAGTTAAAATGACCAACTTGAGAAGAAGAACCCAAAGTTAAAAAAATTGGTTTAATCCAAACCAAATCAAACCAGAATCAAGCCATTAAATTGCTTATAAAAGTTTTATAAACATATTTGAAAAACCAAACATTTGTCGATTATGACGAGTCTATAGTCAAATCAAATATCATGACAAGACGAATCCAACGAGTCAAAAATTACTTAATTCTGACATCATTAAATTACTCAAATATTCATTAAATGTCGTCAGATCGAGGGAAGTCCTCTAAGTCGTCTGATAAATATCCTACATTAATTACATCCAGGATTGTATAAATAGAGGGAGGAGAGCTTAAGGTTTGAGAAAAAAACTTGCAGCTTTAAAAAGAAGCTGAAGTCCAACACCACTCTTGCTGTCGTCGACCATCACCAATCGTCGCTGACAGTCATTGACCACCGCTAACTGTCGATGACCTTCGTCGACCATCACGAACCACTATCGAGCACTCCATCGACCACCATCGACCTGACGCCGCCAATAGCTATCGATCGCCACAAGTCGATGTTTTAACTTGAAATACTTAGTAACTCTTTCTTTCCCACCTGTGTGACAAGTAGTTGCAATTATAATTTATTTTTATAGTAAAATTTTTCAGTTAGATAAGTCCACATGATTTTTCTCTTTCAGATTATTCAAAAGTAATAACTTCTAATGCGATTATTAGTTTTTTTTTTTTTCTGTGTGCGTGTTGAATATTCATATCATACTAACACGATAATATACTACTCTAATGTCGCAAATTTTCTAGTACGCATCAATCATTTTAATAACATGTCACCAAACATCATCTTAAGAATTTTTTTAATATAAAAAATATTATAATATTAATCATTAGTATAATTTTTAATTAAAAAAGTAAATTTAATAATATTGATAATTTAAATCATATATTATAAATCCTGTATAATTATGATTATTGTTTAACCCACACAAAACAACGAATAAAAGGCTACATACAATAACAAAGAATTATTCCAGTGTTTTTTTAGCAATTATGAATTTTGGTTAATTAAAGAACACAAATCGTGGTCATAACTTCCTTACATGCACCTCAGTTAACGAGACCTTCCTGTCATGTGGATATAAATAGAGTTAGCGGTGATCGATCTGACTCATCTCCACCCATCACCAGAAATCCGAAAACGACCTCATCAGATATGATCTACAGCAGAAGGTATTAATTCCTGGTATTGGTTAATCCGTCCGTCCTTTTCCACTAACGAATCGAATGGCTTCATCGACAATGCTCTCCAGTGGCCGTTCCTCGCCGGCGGCATTCATGGTGAACTCCAAGGTCTGGTTGTTCTGATGCATGCTCTTTTGTATGTGGTTTCAATCTTTAAATGTTCTGTTGAGGAATTGTTTCATCTCTGTGAACTGAACAGAAGCTGGGACCTGCAGCTGGAAGGAGAGGCAGAGAACTTAATGTCAAGGGAAAGGTAACTTTTATATTCCATTCCTTGATGCCAGATCATGAGCTTTGAGGTATAAGAAGGGTTTATACAGACAGTTTGCGACGGAAGTTGAATGGTCAGCAAATTAGGCATCGTAAAAGCTGAATTGTTTAAAATTGTTCTGAGACGATTTGAATCTTCTGATGGTCACGCGGGCGTGGAACAGAGCTCTAATCCTCAGAGCTGTTCCGTGTGCTTTGAAGACAGTCGTAGACCTAATAGTTTTGCTTCTTCGATTGAATATACGCTCGTCTTGTTGACGATAATTGTTATGAGTTGTTGGTTGATTCTTTAAATTGTGGGCAAACTGATATACATGAAATCGTAGTATGCGGTAAACTATCGGCAGGCTTCATATTAATGAGATCGTCGAAGGTGAAACTTGCGGTGTGGTGCGAGTTTTTTGGAGGTCTTGAAGAAGGATATAATTGTACACAAGTTTTGGAGGATTTGATCACAGGTTTATCTGTGATCACAATTGGCCTGTCATCTTCCATTATTTTGGCAACAAAAAGGCACCTGAAATTGATTTATCAACAATGGAGAGTTGAAGGTGTTAGATATTATATTCTTTATATTTCTATTATTTTACCCTACTTAAGGGTAGTTTAGTTTTTTTTTTTATTATATATATATATTTATCTTTTAATCTTATAATGAGGTGCTTCATGCAATTGAAATCCTAGCCATTTTTCCATTGTCTCTTCTATTTCTCTTATTTTTCTCTATTTATTTGAAAATTTTAACATGGTATCAGAGCAAGTTTAATCCATTCATAGCTTTCGCGGATCCAACTTTTCAGGGATCTATTTGCAGTTTCTAGATTATTTTCCAGTCTCCAGCGATATACCCAATTTTTGACATCATTTGCATTCTCCAGCGATAAACCTAATTACAGTTTTTTGGGTGATCTATTGTTATTGATATTCGATCTTCCCGTTCTTTGTTTTCTGTTTTTATTTTGATAATAACAGCAATGACTGGTGAAAATGATGATTCTCTTCAGTATATTAGTGTGCAATTAAATGAACAAAATTATTTATATTGGAGTTATGTATTGAAGAATTTTTTGAAAGGTAAAATAATATGAGTTTATGTTTCTGAAACTTCTTTTAAGCCAATAGATGAAAAAAATGAAAAATATGAAGAATTGTTGGAAGTATTGAAAGCAAACAATTCAAAAATAATCACTTGGATCAATAACTCGGTTTCTCAATCAATCGGTGCCCAATTAACAAAATATGAAACTCCAAAAAAGGTTTGGAATCATTTGAAAAGATTATATGTGCAGTCAAATTTCGCAAATCAATATTAATTAGAGATATATTTGTGTTCTTCAACAAAACAACACGAGCATCCAAAAATTTTATTCTGCCATGAGTATTATTTGGGATCACTTATTTCTTACTGAATCTGTAGAATTACGAGCTTTTAAACCATACACTGATCCTAGAGAAAAATAGCGTTTGATTCAGTTTTTAATGGCTCTTTGAGATGTTTTTGAAGGGCTTCGTGGAACAATTTTACATCGCAATCCTCTTCCAACAGTTAACTCAGTGGTTAATGAGTTATTAGCTGAAGAGATTCGTCTCAAGTCTCGATCTAAGAAAGAGAATGTAGAGAAAGAGATCCTCCCCACTTCTAATTCGTCTGTTTTTGCATCTACTCATAATAAAAGCAATTCTCATGGAAATGTTGGTTTTGATTAATGTAGTTTTTGTAAGCAAAAGGGTCACTGAAAAGTCAATGTCCAAAGTTGTTGAACAAATCACAGCAAACACAACAACTCAATCAGTTGCACCTATGAAGCTTCAGGACTCCAACATAAAATGTTGCAGTTGTTGTTCCTCCTACAAACTCTCTTAGTGTTGGAAATGCTTATTCTTCGGGCCCTACATTAGCCGTGTTTGCTGAGCAATTTCAAAAGTTTATTGTCTTACAACCACATGTCATGTCTGCCTTCTCAAATATAAGTTTGTCTTCTTCTAGCTTATCAGATATATCTTCTCCCATTTGGATTTTTGAGTATGGAGCCTCACATCATATGTCATTTGATTTTACATTAGTTGTATCCCTACATCCTGCTTCATCTATATCAGTCATGACAGCTGATGATACTCCTATGCCATTAGCAGGCACTGAGTCTGTATGCACACCGCATTTATTCATTTCAAATGTTTACTATATCTCCAATCTTATTTTGAATCTTGTTTCTGTTGGTCAATTGTGTGATCTGGTTTCTCAGTTTTACTTTCTTCCACCTCTTGTTATGTGCAAGATCCACAATCTAGGAGGTTGATTGAGGCAGGTCGTAGGAAAGGGGGACTTTATATTATGGATGAGCTAAGAGTTCTAGATATTGCAGCTTCCAGTGTTGATCTATCATTATTTCGTTTGAGTTCATCATCTTCTAACTTTTATCTATGACACTCTCATCTCGGACATGTCTTTTCTTCTCGTCTAAAATACTTAGTTTCTACATGAGTTTTGGGCGAGTTACAAACTCATGCTATTTCTGATTGTTGTGGTTGTAAACTTGCTAAATTTTCTAATTTACCCTAATCTAAAAGTGTTTCACTTTCTGTCGTACATTTTAACTTGGTTCATTCTGAGGTAATCTCCTGTTCTTACCAAATGTGAATCAAGATATTATGTCTCGTTCATTGATGATTATATTCGTTATTGTTGAATTTATCTTATGAAAAATTGTTATGAATTTTTTACTATTTATCATATGTTTTGTGCATTGTCAAAACTCAACATATTGTTGTTATTAAGTGTTTTTGATGTGAATTGGGAGGTGAATATACTTCTACTAATTTCTCTTAATTAATTGCCTCTGTTGAGACTTTTTTTCAAACTTCTTGTACTAACACTCTTGAGCAAAATGAAGTTGCTGAAAGGAAACATCTTCATATTGTTGAAACTGCTTGTTCCCCTTTTTTGTTTAGCTCTGTTCCAAGTGAATTTTGGGGGGAAGCTATTCTTATTGCAGTAAATATTATTAACAGAATTTCATCTTCTGTTATTTCATGTTTGTCTTCCTTTGAAAAACTATATGGTCACATTCATGATTATTTCGCTTTGAGAGTTTTTAATTCTACTTGTTTTGTTCTTCTTCTGCATGTACAATGTAATAAATCTTCTTCGTGTTTGACAATCAGTGTATTTCTTGGTTATAATGATGGTCAGAAAGGATATCGTTGTTATGATCATCTTACTCAAAAACTTTTTGTCTCACGTCATGTTGTATTTCTTGAGCATATACCATTTTACTCAATTCCTCATTTTTCTCCTCATAGTCTTACAACGTCTGATACTATCTTAATTGATCATTTTCACACAAATACAGATATTGAACATCAGCACGTGATTCATCATCCAAATAATTTTGGTATTGAGCTTTGGAGGATTAACACTGGTAGCTATGCAGATCCCGATGCTCCCCTATCTCTACTGCCCCTCAAAAACCTTCTGTAACTGTGAATCCTCCTCTTCCTCGTTACCCTCAACGTGATCATAAGTCCACTAAATTGCCAGATTTTGTTTGCTCCATTATTTTTCTTCTTTTGCTTCCTTTTTAACCTCCATTCACAATTTGTCTGAGCCCTCTTCCTATGAAGAGATTGTTCTTGATCCTTTTTGGCAGCAAGCTATGACAAAAGAACTTTCTGCTTCACATAAGACAAATATTCATGACCTTATCTCTCTTCCTCAAGGAAAACGTGCAATTGGTTCTCATTGGGTGTATAAGATCCAAACCAAGTGTTATGGGTCAGTTGAGCGATATAAAACTTATTTGGTTGCTCAGGGACTTTCTCAACAGTATGATCTGAATTATGAAGAAACAATTGCTCCCGTTGCCAAAATGACTACCATTCGTACTCTTATTGCAGTCGCCTTTATTCATCTGTGACATATCTCTCAAATAGATGTTCAAAATACATTCTTAAATAGTGATCTTCAAGAGGAAGTTTACATGATGCCTCCACAAGGTATCCCTCATAATCATGATAAAGTTTGTAAATTAAAGAAAACTCTCTACGACCTTAAACAAGCTCCTCGAGCTTGGTTTGAAAGGTTCTCTATTGTGATTGTTTCTCTTGGTTTTCATTATATCTCACATACACTGTCTTGTTTCTCAAGAGTACCTCTCATGGTCGTTTCATACTCTCTTTATATGTTGATGACATGATTATTACTGGGAATGTTGATGATGAAATTGCTGAGTTGAAATTACAATTAGCTCAACAATTTGAGATGAAATATTTGGATACTCTTCGATATTTTTTGGGGATTAAAGTGACTCATTCTCCTAAAGGTTATCTTTTTTCCCAATCTAAGTATATTGACACCATCCTTTGACAAGCTTGTCTCTCTGATTCTCGGACAATTGCTACTTCTCTTGAACTTAATGTTCACCATTCTTCTTCTGATGGTGTTTATTTGTCCGATCTCATTTTGTATCGTACACTTGTTGGCAGCTTGGTATATCTTACCATCACTACACTTGATATTGCTTATGCAATACATATTGTTAGTCATTTTGTTGTCTTTCCTACTATAGTTAATTAGACAACTGTTCTTCGCATTCTTCGTTATCTTTGTGACACTCAATTTCAGAGTTTTCTGCATCTTCTTCCTTGGAATTACGTGTCTATTCAGACGCTGATTGCGGTGGTGATTCCACCAATCGTAAGTCTACCAACATATTGAGATTGATTGTCATTTTACTCGCCATCACTTTCAACTTGACACTATCACATTATCCTATATTTCTTCCTCCATGCAACTTGCCGACGTGTTTGTGAAATCGCATTCCACTCAACGCTTTTCTTTTTTGACTAGTAAACTCTCGATGATTTCCCTTGATGCATCGTAAGTTTGAAGGGGGATGTTAGATATTATAGTCTTTATATTTCTATTATTTTATCCTACTTAAGGGTGGTTTAGTCTTTTTGATTATTGTATATATATTTATCTTTTACTCTTGTAATGAGTTGTTTGATGCAATTAAAACCCTAACCACTTTTTCATTCTCTTCTATTTCTCTTCTTCTTCTTTGTTTCATTTGCAAATCTTAACAGGAGGACATGGTATTTTGACAGTCAATTCAGATTTAGCCCATGAAAAGGGCAACAGCGGATTTAATAGTTTGACAAAAAGATGGGATAACATAATTCATGTTTCTATAGCCTTTTATGGAGCAGCTCCTTGAATAGCAATACTTGCTGAATTAATTCCGTTTCTGAAAAATAACTTATTCTTTGTGATTTTTCAACAATGTTGCTTTGAGCTATCCTGCAGAGTTTTGGCCGTGTGAGAATGGCCGTTGCAGTCAATATTTCTCGTTTCGAAGGTGTTTCTATGGCTCCACCAGATCCAATTCTGGGAGTTTCTGAAGCATTCAGAGCCGATACAAGTGACGTGAAACTTAATCTTGGTGTTGGAGCTTATAGAACGGAAGAACTGCAACCATATGTGCTCAATGTGGTTAAAAAGGTACAGAATATCCTAGTGTAGAGACTTGGTTTTTTGATATAAAGCTAGAGAAACTTCATTGCATTCACTGTCAACTGTGGTGAAACATTAATTCTTTGATTTTAGGAAGATTTACACACAGACCACTCAATTCTTAGATATTTACTTATCTAACACCTAAGCTTCATTTTTGCCATACATACCACCTTGCCTATGCATGAAATGATCTATTTCACATTTTAAAATTTAAAATTGTGGCGCTCTTGATGTAATATGAAAGATTTGGGTGGTATAAATGTAAAATATAAAAGTTAGGCGTTATATATGTAAATATGTAAATATATAAGAATTAAGTGGTATGTATGTAAATGCCCCTTCATTTCATACCGTGCAGGCAGAAAATCTTATGCTTGAGAGAGGAGAAAACAAAGAGGTAATTGAAGTATTCAACTGAAATTAAGTTCATGATTTCTTTTTATGCTCCCACAGTTACTAATCCAACGTCCCTTTTTATTTTATAGTATCTGCCAATCGAAGGTTTGGCTGCTTTTAACAAAGTCACTGCAGAATTACTGTTTGGAGCAGATAGTCCCGTAATCCAGCAAGGAAGAGTAAGGACTTATTTTATTTAAATAAGGTTTTTCATTCAACTTTCATTTTTTCACCATCAGAAGGAGGGCTGTCTAATATTTATCTGCTCAAATGGTTTAACTTTATTATTTCAGGTTGCTACTGTGCAAAGTCTTTCAGGGACTGGTTCTCTTCGTCTTGCTGCGGCATTCATACAAAGATATTTCCCTGAAGCTAAAGTTTTGATATCTTCTCCTACTTGGGGTCTGCATTTTTAACACTAAACTATATTGCCTTGTAAAAGCCTTGTTTGTGGAAGATTTCAGTTTTTGCATGACAAACATTTATTTATTTTTAACAGGAAATCACAAAAATATTTTCAATGATTCACGGGTTCCCTGGTCAGAATATCGATATTACAATCCTAGAACTGTGGGTTTAGATTTTGAAGGCATGGTGGAAGATATAGAGGTATTCTTCTCTGGTCTTTCGAACATTGATGCTTGGTAGGCCTATTAAAACCTTGTGACATGCCAATTCAGCTAGAATGAAGTCTATTCCTTAAAAAATTAATAGCATGTTAGGATAAATCAGTTGGGTCTCCTTCCTATTAACTAGTAAATATCAGTAAGGTCTTAATTATTATAAATCCCACAATTGTACCGTTACATTCTGAATGGATGATAGGATATACAGGGGCAATGGTCTTTAGCTTACTACTATTTATCATTCATTTCCTATGAGAGCACATATCTGGTTCTTTTTGCATTGAAGTTGACGGTATACATTTTATGAGGCTTTTCACAATCCACTCAATACCTATGTATTTACATATCTACCACCTAAACTTCAAATTTTACATCCATGCCACCTTACCCATGCATAAAAATGATGAATTTCACCTTTTAAAAGTTAAAATGGTGATATTTTTTATGTGATATGGAAGATTTGGGTTAAGTATAGGTGTTAGATATGCAAGTACATAGGTTTTGGATGGTATGTATGTAAATGCCTCAAAGAAAATTATAATTCTCCTGTTTATCATATAACTTTAAATTAGTAGTAGAACTACGATTTAATTTTGGGGGTGAAAAAATTTACCCCAAATTTGGGGGGACGACGGGCAAAACTTACATGTCACATATAGCTACATGGTGATTTATTGGCGAAAAATTCTTGAATTCAAGACTATAAGTGGGTTTATGCTACCTAAACAGAAGCTCTCTAATCTTCCCCTAATTTTTGCTTCTTGTAGCTCCTATATCATCTGGTTCATTCTTAGTTTTGCGGTCCTTCTGTTTGAGCTAGTAGTCTTCTTATGCGTGTACCAGGACTCGTGGGCTGTGTGGTACTGAGGTTAGCACTCAGAATTGTGCAGAGTTTGCTACCGTCTATCAGGCAATTTCTTATTGGGCAATCTACAAACGTACCACATGACACGTGCATTTACACATCTAACACCTAAATTTTAGTATTTATGTATGTAACATTTAATCACATGAAAACATATATATGACAAATTGCTTTTTAGTTTAAAAATTTAATATTAGCGGTATTTTTTATGTGATGGTAAGAATTGGACTGTTATATGAGTAAATATTAAAGCTTAGGTTTTACATACATGTTACATGCATGTGAATGTATAAGAACTATGTGGTATGTTCCGCAATTTAGTTTATTGATCTAGGGTTACGTCTGAAAAATTCAGGAAAGACAGTTTGATTGTTTAAGCATGAGGCATATTTTGGTAAATAACGAAGTTTTGAGTGATATGCATGTAATTATCCCAAAAATTTAAATTTAAGGCTGGGAATTGCCCACCGAGAGCTCAATGCGTGTTCGCCTCTGCAGCCATGTACAAAAAACAGTATTACAAAAATTTTTACTAGAAAATTTTCGGAAAATTTTTATGTTTTTCTTGTTTTATTTCCATTACAAGCGTACTAAATCTACAATATAGGCTGCACAAGATGGATCTTTTATTCTTCTGCATGGTTGTGCTCATAATCCAACTGGAATAGACCCAACTCCTGAACAGTGGGCAAAAATTGCTGATCTAATTGAGGAGAAGAACCACATTCCTTTCTTTGACGTTGCTTACCAGGTCTATCCCTAACATTTAATACCGAAACTATGTATTTACATATCTTACACCTAAACTTTACTTTTTTTACATTCATACGTGAAATACACATTCTCATGCATAGGTAACGTGCTCTGTATTTAAAAATTGAATTTTAAGAGTTAGATATGTACATACATCAGAATTGAGTGGCAGTATATTGCTTTTTTTTTTTTGGTAGATTCCAAATTACAATTTATGCTAGAAGAATTTTAAGAAGAATACTTTATATTTCAGACTTACACCATAATTTTATTTCCGGAATTATTTTCTTATTACTTTTAAAAATTATTGTAGTGGAAAGCTGTTTTTGCAACAAAATATATCAAAATATAGTGGCTATAAAAATATGTTGATTTTTTAAGAAGAATAAATATTTTTTTATTCATAATGTTGTTTTTTGATAAGTTATTTTTCTTATCACAGCTTTACAACCATCATTATTAAAAAAAAATTACAACCATTCCAAATGGATCCTAAATTTTTATATTAAATATGTATTTGTTTATTTTGTGTCTTAAGGGATTCGCTAGTGGAAGTCTTGATGCAGATGCATCATCCGTTAGATCATTTGCTTCGCGCGGCCTGGAGCTATTTGTTGCTCAGTCTTACAGTAAAAACCTCGGTCTGTACTCTGAGAGGATTGGAGCTATCAACGTTGTTTGCTCCTCCCCGGATGCAGCAGCCAGGTACAGCGCATGAAATTTTAATTGCATTTTAAGCACTATTTTCATTAAACTTTTATTCGAGTCACTAGCTGATCTGTGAGTCAGCTTTATGAATAACTTGTGAGCCAAACTAGATGAGCCGATTGAAAAGTTTGAGAGTTCAAGAATTTAATTAGAATTTAAGAGTTTAATTACAAAATTAAAAATTCTATCATTCTTCTTCATCTAAAGTGGTTTTTTTTTATCTAATTTCTCATTTTTATCATTTTATTAGAACTGTTGTAGGAATCAAAATCATTTCCTGTACTTTTTAGTAAATGAACCAGCTCATGAACAGAGCCGAGTTATACAACTACACTTGTGCTTGAACATAATCACTATTAGTTCATGAAGCTGAAGCTCAGATTAGATGTGGCTCGAGCACGGCCCAACTCATTTACAGAGCTAATCATCATCATCTCCATTCTTATTCTCATTTCTAGCTGCTGTTTCATGACTTCTTAAAATTGAAAAATTCATGTATATATCACTCATTATTATGTATTTACATATCTAACACCTAAACCTCAATTTTTACATACATGCAACCTTCCCTATGCATGAAAATATGTATTTCATCTTTTAAAAATTAGAAAGTGACGCTTAAACTTAAATTTCTATTAATCAGTGAAGCTCAAGCTTAAATAGGAGGTGGCTTGAGGGCGTCCTGACTTATTTACAGCCCTAATCATCATCACCATCATCCACATTTTTATTCTCATCTCTAGCTTCAGTTTCATGACTTCTTAAAATTCGAAGATTTACATACATACGACTAAATTCTTCTAGATTTACATTTGCAACACATAAATTTCAATTATTGCATACATGCCAGGTATACTTCACTTTGTAAAAATTAAAATTATGCTATTTTTGATGTTATATGAAAGATTTATGTGGTATAAATATAACTAATAAAATTTAGGTGTTTAATATGCAAATACATAGGAATTGGGTGATTGATTTTCAACTCATCTTAGGACCGAAGGGCATGTTGATTTTCATTTTATATGGCATAAAGTTAAAAACTGGTAATTTAGGGTGAAGAGCCAGCTGAAAAGGATTGCAAGGCCAATGTATTCAAACCCTCCTGTTCATGGCGCCAGAATTGTTGCCAATGTTGTGGGTGAACCAACTCTGTTCAACGAATGGAAGCAGGAAATGGAGATCATGGCTGGGCGCATAAAGAATGTCAGACAAAGACTCTTCAACAATCTCTCTGAGAAAGACAAGAGCGACAAGGATTGGTCCTTCGTTCTCAAACAAATTGGCATGTTTTCTTACACCGGCTTGAACATGGCTCAGGTAATTTTATTTCTTTCCATAGTTTCTATCCTGTGATTTATATCCAAGTTATCATTCTTATCATCATCTTCATTGCCGTCATCATGATCGTAGTTGATTTTGCATATGAGATCAATAGATTTTTTACTTTTGTTTGAACGAATTTGGCTCAACTCAGTTTATTCGAGTCTAGGTGGCTCGATTTGATTAAGTGTAAGAGGATTAGAAAGAAGGTGAGCATGAAGTTCGGTGAGTATTAATTCTTTAAAATGATTTCAGAAACATATTTTAAATATCTAAAATAATACTTAGAAGAACGGATGAAAATAAAAATTCATCAAATTGATCCCGCAATAGTTAATGATGATAATATTATAAATGGTGAATATTTATAATAAGAATTTAGGCTTGTTTATCTAGTAAAGTGTCAAAATTGTTCTATGACTCTTTAGATGTGGTTATTTACCATTAGTATGATTTGGTAAATCTGGATTTAGTGTTAGTAGGATTTAGTAAATTTGGATTTATTAAATTCATCTCAAAGGCAAACTTAGGACCTTAAATCGGAAATTTCATAAATCTGTGGAACTTAAGCTTTTTTATGTTTGGCCGGATTTTGTAAAACTTCAAGATAAATCTTGTTAACAAGTCTCGGCCAAACACCCCCATTTAAGTCTATAAAAGTAACATCTTTTTTAATATGAGCTGAAATAGTCCTCAACGAGAATTATTTCGTGTGACTAAATTGATATTTTTATAAATATTATGACAAATAATAATCATCCTCCCGCAAAGAATGATCATTTTGACACTTTTCTCTTTATTTATTGTTGCAACGATTTTTATTAATGTTTTTTTTTTTTTGGTACTTGTTATGATAGAGTGATTAATATGACAAACAAGTGGCATGTGTATATGACGAAAGATGGAAGAATATCATTGGCTGGTCTGTCGCTGGCCAAGTGTGAATATCTTGCCGAGGCCATTATTGATTCCTTCTACAATGTGAGCTAAGTGAGTTCAACCTCTGAGTCACTGAACGCTGGAATTTTTCCATCTTGTTCCAGATTGTGAGATCTGTGGATTTTTCTAAGCAATTTATAAGGTTCATTTTGAGAGTATTTTTACACAGTTTAGATGTTGCAGAATTAATTTATTTGTTCATATGAGCGTGGCTAAGAATATCATGCCACAGATTTATAATATTCTTATTTGGGCTGATTTTTAGTAGCTTCTATGAAAAATTTTCAAAATTATAGATGAAGTTTCGCATATATATTTTTTCAATTTAGATGAATTTACAAAATAAGTGGTGGCTATTTACATATCCAACACTCTCTCTCACACATTTTTGGTATTCTCATTCAAATAAATTAAATAATAACGTTAGAGATTCAACTTAAAACATTCCAACAACCATATATAGATTTCTCTCGCACCTACAGACAAGATACAAAAGGAAACATGTAACATGAACATATGCCGATTTTTACAACTTAATCTAAATAATTTTTTTTTAAATACATTTATAATAAGCAAAATACCATTACTCCGGCCAGCCAATGTCGCCCTCTTTTGGCTCGGCATTTCATCAAACAGACGGGGGGAGTAAATTCTGCCAGAACCAGTGCTTTCTCCAGATGAGCACCATCTCCTCGATCGGAACCCCCTTCGTCTCCGGGAGGAAGAAGAAGACGAAGGTGGTCATGAGGGTGATCCATCCGGCGAAGAAGAGGAAGATGCCGAACTTGAAGGAGCAGAGGAGAGTGAGGAAAGATTGAGCGATGGCGAAGGTGAAGAAGAGATTGACGGCCACGGTGATGCTCTGACCGGCCGATCTGGTTTCGAGAGGGAAGATCTCGCTGGGCACCGTCCAGCCCAGCGGCCCCCATGACCAACCGAAGGCCGCCACGAAGAGGCAGATGACCGCCACGACGGTGATGGAGAAGGATTTTGACAGCTGCTTGTCGTCGCCGAATTTTAGGCCCAAGATCAGTGCCACTATTATCTGTGGAAAAATCTTTAAGTTAATCACATACCCGACAAACAATCATCAGTTAATCCCATACATAATATAATCAGTTAATCACATACCTGACAAACAATCATCTGAATCCCGCCGGCGATGAGAAGCGGCCGGCGGCCCAACCGATCCACCGTGAGTATCGAAACCACCGTCGACATCATGAGCACCGCTCCGGTCAGCACCGACGAGTACAGGGACGCGTTACCCCCAAACCCCATGCTCTGAAACAAAACCGGAGCATAGAACAGCACCGAATTAATCCCCGTGAGTATCTGAAACGCCGGCATTGCGACCGCCATTACCAACTGCGGCCTGTTCTTCTTCTCCATTATGTTCCTGAAGGGGTTTCGGATCGAGTTAGCGAGCTCGCTGGCCTCGACGATGTCCTGGAACTCGGCGTCGACTCCTTGGGTGCCGCGGATGCGTTGGAGGACGGCGCGGCCGCGGTCGGTTTGGCCGCGTTCGATGAGGGAATTGGGGGTTTCGGGGAGGAGGAGACCGGCGGCGGTCATGAGGAGGGCGGGGAAGGCGGCGAGGCCGAGGGAGAGGCGCCACCCCCATGGGTGGAGCTTTCCGGTGCCGTAGTTTATCATGTTGGCGGAGAAGATGCCGGAGGTGGTGGCGAGTTGGAAGAGCATGTTTAGGGCTCCGCGGAGATGGGCGGGGGCCATTTCGGATAGGTACAGTGGGACGGCCTGCTCATTTTGTCATGTGTATTTATATATATCAAATTAGTAAAATAAATTTAATATTTTTTTCTTATACAAATTTGAATATTTAGACTTTGGATATGTCAATACATAAATAATGGTCTGGCATGTCTCTAAATTCCTCAAAAATAAAATTTACGCTATAAAATTAAAATTTTTATGAGATTCAAGTCCAAGTAGAGTGATCAATGGGTGTAGAATGACTTACTTGGTTGCCGAACCCGATCCCGAATCCAAGGAGGATGCGGCCGAGGAGGAGCATGGCCAGGTTCTGAGCGGAGGCATTGAGGGCGGCGCCGGCAATGAAGAAGAGACCGCCGCAGAGGATGCTGCACCGGCGGCCACGGCGGCGAGTGACGGGGGAGGCGAGGAGGGAGGCGATGAGTCCGGCGAGGTAGAGGGAGGAGGTGAAGGCGGAGAGGCCCTGGTTGTCATACTTGCAGTAATTGTTCTTAGATTGGTAGTTCTTCTTCCTGTACACCACAGGGAAGAATTTCTCTAGAAATGGATCCATAGATGTCACCCCTCCTGTTAAACCCTTAATTTTTCATCACTGATGCTATAGTGTTGAAATTAATTAAAAACAGTACATGAAATATATTGAAATTTCCATGTTTCACCCCGGCTTTTACATACCAAACACCTAACATTTCAACCTTTCCGCCACTTGCACTTTATTTCTTTTGGATGTTTAAAACGTAAAATTTTAAATTTTGATGGTCAATATGTTATATCTAATATGTAAAAATAGCATTTAACATTTATAAATATTCAAAACATATCAAAATTAAATAAGAAATAACCACCACCGTTATTAATAGAATTAATAGAGTGTTTTATATAGAACACTGCTTAAAATAAAACTATTAATTCCTGAGAAAATTTTATTAATTTTAAATTATATTTATGTGGTAATTATATAAGAAATGTAAGTTCAGATGTTAGATATATAATAAAACAGAGTTTGGGTGATATGCTTGTAAATGGAAAAAAAATATATTAAATTTGGATGGTAGTTATGTGAATTGTTACTTATGTAAATAAAAATATAAAGCAAGGGGGGTGTTCTTTAGTCCCACATTAGAAGTTCGATAGATTTATTTTAAAAAAAATCATATAAAAATAGGAAGAAAATAAATTTTTTTTAGCAAGGAAGCTTAGCATTGTAGATATGTGTCATCCAAATTGTGTTCGGTAAAATAAATTTTCTTTATTCTAATATTTTTAGCATAGTCCATTTAATTTTTTTTAGATATGTTTGAATTGAATAAGCCCAGCATGAACAACTATTAAGGTCGTTCAAATCGGACTTGTACGCACGAAGGCCCAAACTGGGCCCGAAATAGAACCAAATAAATCTTCCACTCTCGTATCCAGTAGCCCCATCAATTAATCTATTTTTAGCATTTTTTATGGGTTTGCGTGATGTGAAAGAATTGGCATTGCGTCATGCCGACATAGGCGTGACCAGTTTTTTCTTAGACTGCAATATTAACTTATTAAATTCCGGGGCATTTACATATATACCATCCAGTTTTGCTTATTTACATAACTAACATCTAGCTTTTATTATTATTTTTAAAATATATTTACACCATTCAAATCTTTCTCATAACATAAAAAATACCACCGTCTTACTTTTTAAAGTGAAATATATATTTTCATGAATAAATAAGATGGCATACATATATGACAATTAAAATTCAGATGCTAGATGTGTAAACACATTGGAATTTAGGTGGTAATCATGTAATTCTTCTTTAAAGTTCGTGCGGCTTGTAATTCTCCTTACATTTGTATTTTGATGAATTATGTGTATTATCTGATTAAGCTTTATCTAATAATTTCGAATATCAAATCATTTCTAATTGAGATACTCAATTACTTTCTAATTATTCTCGTATTGGTATTTGGGTGGGCCATGCCTCCCATCTTCAACGCCGGTCCAAATACCTTGTCCTTTGCCCTATAAATAAATCAAAGAAAGGAAGTGCCAAACTTCAAAGCATGAAACAGCATCTCATCTCCCGCGATCCATAGAAAGAGAACAAAAACACAAGCGCCCGCAGCGGCAGCTGAGTTAGTGATGGTCCGAGTGGTATTGTGATAACTCGAATTCTCATCCATCAATATATTGTTCATTTTTATCATATGGTCTCACAATTTTGCTCTGTTGATGTAACTTTTCCTAACAGTTTTGCTCTATGAGTGATCCATTATGAACAGGCATAACTTTAGAATTCCTATTGAAATTTCATCGTTACACCAAAAAATGAATCGATGTATAAGAGTCAGACTTCATTCTGCTTAAAGGGGTTTTCACAATCTACCCCCATTTAAGTAATTGATGTCCTCATTAGTTTTTTCACCCCATAATCATCCACCTTGCAAATAGGATTCTAGAAGTAACTTCTACATATTCAAGATATGGCTCCCACCATGTAGCATTTTGTCTTATCCATGGTTGAAGAGGTGACTCCAATGACATAATACTTTGTTATATATGACACTTAGTTCCTCTCGTCCACTTGGTGTAATGCTCTGATACCATTTGTGACAACCTGATATCTTAGCCATGAATGTACAATCCCCTGAGGCTTAGTGGCCTCGTGATTTTCCCATGCTGGTGTAACTTCCTAGAAGGCCACCCATCCTAGAAGTGCTCCATCATGAGGACGCTTAACTTTCGAGGTTCTATTGAAATTTCATAATCACAGTAAAATGTGCTTCGATGTTTAAGAGTTTGATTTCATTAGAGGTTTTCACAATAATTCACTCAAGTTGGATGCCAAACAAGACAAACCTATTTGATATGATTTAGTCATGCTCAAGATTACATTAATACGAAATTGTTGGATTCACCTCATTAAGCACATCATCTTGATTTTAAAATTGCTAAATTTACGATTGGTTTCGGAAGGAAAAAAAAAAGAAAGATAGGAAAATTGTAATAAATCAAATTGATGTTGCAAGGAAGATCAAAATTTAGATTGATCAAAATTTAGATTAACCTGTTTTGGGATCATTTTTATATTATAAAGAAAAAAACATTTACCGAGAAATTAGATGTAAATATTTTTAAACATCTGATTCACAAACATGTTATGATTAATGGAATTTTTAGTTTTGGATTTTAGGAGGCAACAAACATGTCACAATAATTTTATATTTCTAATGTTAGCTAATGTCAAATAAAAAAATATATATATAAATGTAAATGACACATGTAAATATTTTCTTGATAAATCCGTTTAGCTTAGGTCCAAAACATTAATATTAATATGAATCTCATTTTTGTTCCCTCTAAAAAATCCAAAAAAATAAAAAATGTAAAAGAAATTATCTCAATTAAATAGTTGATTGAATCCTTCTGAGCGAGACAAGTGGCCTCCTTTCCCTCTTCACGCTTTTTTTCTTAAGATTTATATACACATCGCAAATTTTGCACAATTAGTTTAATTACCATTTTAACCTTTCAATTTAAGAAGGGTGATTTCTTCCAATTGATGGATTTAGGATATATTTGTGCTAATATTTTTAAGTTTTATTTATTTTACTGCCCATTAATGCGTTTTAATTAATTAATTTTTTATTTTTTAAAAAAATTTATTTTTGAGTGAGGACACAATTTTTATTTATTTATATATCTAAAATCTAAGCATTCATACTAAATTCATACTAAGTGAAATACATTTTTTTCATGCATAATTTTATGACACAAACATGCTATATACATAAATATAAGAGTTTCCATGCTAATATGAAAAAATATAAAAAAAATATGTGATATGTAAGTAAATTTACTCAATGGGTCAATTATACCTAAAAAAATTGAAGAGAAAATCCTAAAAAAGCCTAAAGTTTTCTCCCTAATTACTAACTATAATTACCCGGTGAAGATCTGTATGTAATTACCCCTATAATTTAATATGCTCCGCAGACAATTCAATGTGGAAAAACCCACCAACAATATTTTAAGTGTGAGACAAGTTCAACTGCCCACATGCCAATGGAGATAGAGAGAAAGAGAGAGGACTTTTTAGTCCCACAAGCCAATCTTTCTACTTAATAAATGGGATAATTGGATAGAGACCATCCAAAACAATTATATTTACAAAAAAACCACCAAGGTGATTTTTTTTTTTTAACTGATAAACCAATTACTGAGAAACTGATAAAAATAAAAAATAAAGAATGGGAGGGTTTTACTACGATTTTTTGATATTTGATTGAAAATTTGAAAAATAGATGAAAGAAGCTGGTGATTTGTAAATAGTAATTTGTTGGGGGTATTTATGCAATTGGTTTATAATTTTATTATTTTCTAAATGTCAATGCAAATCGTTTGATTTAATTTAGGTAAAATTACAATAAATTATAAGTTTTTTTTTTTTTATGTCAAATATAAATGTAATCGCCCCAATAAAAGGATAATTACACGCAAAGCTAAAGAATATTGCTATTTACAAATCTGTCCTTCCAGTGATTTTTTTTTTGAACTAACAAACTGATTCATTCACGCGTGGGATTTTATCTTGACCTTCGAGTGAGAATTGAGAAATGGATTGATTTGTAAATATCAATATTTTGAGTGGCCTGTATGTAATCGCCTCTAATAAAATGGAGAATTATGAAACGAGGAAAAGAGAGCAAAAGGGGGATTTATCGATTTCAGAGAAGACAGTGAAAAAGAGTTCCCCGTCGCCGAATTCGATGACCGTCACGATGGAAAAGAAAATTGAAACCCTAATAAGACATACCGGAGATGCCGATATCGTAGCCGAAGATGGATCCACCAACGGCGGCGATGATGCATGTCATGACCACATAGGGCGTAACCCTTCCCTTATACTGCTGCGCTCTCTCCGTCGCAACTCCGGCCGGCGCCGGTGCAATTCCTCCTCCGGCCATCGCCGATTGCCGCCGCTCGCCGGCGATTGTGCTGATTCAGTCTTCGTTTTCGTTATCGGGCTATGGATCGCCGGAGATGAGCTGCTGTGTTTCTTGCTCTGAAGTTTGGTAGCTTGCTCTGTTTGATTTATTTATAGGGCGGAGGATAAGGAATTGAAGATGCGAGGGGGTATGGCCCACCGAAATACCTAGATGAGAAAATGCTTGAGATGGGGGAAGACTATTAAAGCATATAAGAAATTTATTGAGAGATAAAATTATTAAAATCATATTGTAATATTTTTAGAGAAATTTGTTGAAATTAGCCTAATTTTGCTTTTGAGAATTGGAGGGGTTTTTGGATGATGGGTGTTTGAGTTGCTCGTGATGGCATGATCATGTTTTTTGTAATTATATCGTTATTGTTGATGATAACAGACGTTGATTTTCAGTATAATAATGGACGGTTGTCTTAGTAATAGCATCGAGTGTTGAAGTTAGTTGGTGAATTTGGGATTTTTAGTTTTTGGATACTGTGTGTTAGAGTTAATGGTGATGGCATGATGAACATTTTCGTAATGATATCACTGTTGTTGGTGATAGCGGGTTGATATTGGCGATAATAGTGTGTGCTAGTCTCGGTAATAACATTAGGTCATGAAGTTAGTAGGAGAATTGGGAAGTTTTTGGATGATGGGTGTCAGAGTTATCAGTGATTGACCAACATTTACGTAATGACATCACCGTTGATGGGGGCAACGAACATTGCCCTTGACTATGATGATGGGTGCTAGTTTCAGTACTATTTCCAAATAACATCGGGTGGCAACATTAGTTTTTGGATAATGGGTGTCAGAGTTGCTAATGATCACATGACTAATAGTTTTTTTCGCAATGATTTTACTGCTAATGATAACATTATGCATCGGTCTTGACTATTACAATGAGTTGGCTAATTGGAGAGTTTTTGGAGGTGTCAGAGTTACTGGTGATGATTTGATCAACTATTTCGTAATGAGATCATTGTTTTTGCTAACAACGGGCATCAGTCTTGACTATAATAGTATTTCTAGCCCTAGTAATATCATCGAGTGTCGGAGTCAGTTGGCAATAGCTGACAGGAGCTGCCACAAAGAGTTTTGAATTTGCATCTCTATTATCATTTTTGGGGCCTTCTTTCGATTTCCCGCAAAGTATCGAAGTATACTCATTTATAGACCACTTTAACAAAACATATTAATAATTCTGATCATAAATCAGAACACCCAAATGATGTTCTATATTATTCAATCATACATCTTGATATCATTAAGCAGAGCCTAAAATGGATTAACAATTATTTCTTCCTAATCTAAAATATATTTATAAAAGCACTTACATAAATAATGCTTACCATATGAAATAATCACATTAGGCTCAAATAAAATATAATTGCCTAAGATGAATTTTTCAAATCCTTCCCAAAATAGACAAAATCCTTTACTCTTCTTTTTCTTAAACGTCTTCCAACAGATCAAAATTAGCTGACTCAATTGGGATTATGGCCGACTTAATAAAAATATGAACATTTACATGCACACTCCACAATTCTTATGTATTTACATATCTAACCCTTAAACATTACTTCGTACACTTACACTACCCAAATCTTTAATATCTCATAAAAATATTTCTATTTTTACCTTCAAAAAGTCAAATACGAATTTTCATGTAGATGTAAATATGGCTGTCAAAACGGCTCGTTGTTCGCGAACAGCTTGTGTTCGGCTCATTAAGAAGTTCGTGTTCGGCTCATTAATTTTGTTCGATAAGTTAAAACGAACAACACAAAAAATTTTTGTTTGTTCGTGTTCGGCTCGTTTTGGCTCGAAATACTACTAATAAATTATATATATATATATATTTGATGAGTTATCTTTTTTAAAAATTCAGTTGACTACAAGACTACGAAGATTTATAACCAACTAAAAGTATTATGT